TTTTGCCACCAGTCTGGCCTTGTACCTTTCAACAGTTCCATCAGCCTTGTGTTTCACTGTGAACACCCACTTGCACCCCACTGGTTCCTTCCCTTGAGGAAGATCCACCAACTCCCAAGTGCCATTTTTGTGTAAGCATCAATCTCTTCCTTCATTGCATCTTTCCATTCAGGTTTAGATAAAGCTTATGCAACATTCTTAGGAACGGGGATACTGTCAACAGAGGAGAGAAATGCACGATATGAAGATGAAATATGATCATAGGACACAAAGTGAGAGATAGGATGATTAGTGGTACAAGATCTAACACCCTTTCTCTTAGCTATAGGAACATCAAGATCATTAATGATAGGGGAATCAACATTGAGAGGAGCAGGTATATCAATAGGAGCAAGTGTACCTAGTTGATGGAAAGGATCAACCTTCGGTGAAGCCGATGATGTTGGTTGCATAGTGTCAGGTTCCATGGCTCTTGATCTCTGCAGGCTTTTGTGGCGGTGAAGAAAGACACGGAATGGAGGAGGGTCAGGTAGAGGAGGTAATTGAGTTTGAGCTTGTTTCTCCTCAACCCTACTCTCCCCCTGAGGAGAAACCGAGAAGAAATGTTGATTCTCAAAGGACACGTCGATTGAGACATAGTACTTACGAGAGGTGGGATCATAGCAACGATACCCCTTTTGAGATAGAGGGTAACAAAGGAAGACACAAGGAATAGCACGAGGATCAAGTTTACCCCGAGTAGGTGACAAGTTATGAACAAAGCAATGACACCCAAAAACACGCATTGGAATGGGGAACAGTGGAGCTATAGGAAACAAAAGCTGATGTGGGGCCTTATACTCTAGTAACCGAGATGGCATACGGTTGATGATGTACGAAGCACACAGAACAAAATCCATCCAAAAACATTTTGGAACAGACATATGGATTAACAAGTCACGAGCTACTTCAAGAAGATGACGGTTTTTTCTTTCAGCAACACCGTTTTGTTGGGGTGTCCTAGCACAAGAGCTTTGTTGAAGTGATCCACTCGAAGCAAAGAATTCCGTGAGATCACTATGGAAGTATTCCTTTGCATTGTCCAATTGGAAAATATGGATTTCAGTTTGGAATTGAGTGAACACCATGCGTTGAAAGTCTTTCACAATTTTAGGCACTTCATCTCTAGATCGCATAGGGTAAACCTAGGTGTATCTAGAGTAATCATCGATCAAGGTAATGAAGTACTTATATCCAGCCTCAATAGGTAGAGTAACAGGGTCCCAAACATTAGAATAAATAATATGAAACGGAAATTCAGATATTTTATTTCTCAAAGGAAAAGAGCTTCTACAATGTTTACTCAATTGACATGTCTGACACTACAACTGACTGTGCCATAAATAGGCTTGACTCTCATAGGACGAACTCAAGGACTCTATAGCCACAAGACCAGCTTTATTCTCCAACACATAGAGACCATCCACCATGCTTCCTCTACCAATCGTCTTCCCCGAGGCCAAATCCTGAAACACACATGAAGATGAATAGAAAGTAACTGAACAGTTCAAGGAGTGAGTAATATTACTAATGGAAAGCAAATTTATAGGTAATTTAGGAACATGTAGTACATTAGAAAGGGTAAGGCCGAGTGGGAGAGATATGGTTCCTTGGCCGGCTATGGTGGAGAAAGAACCATCAGCTAGTTTCACCTTATCTCTTCCATAGAGAATATTGTATACCTGAAATAAATTTAACTTACCAGTCATGTGGTTTGAGGCTCCGGAGTCAATTACCTAAGGGGAATCAGAGGTATGAGATGACACATGGAAGGCAGTGGCAGTGTTACCTGATGCAGATGCAAAGGAGGTAGAAGGAGTAGGACCAGAATCCATTTGGCGAAGAGTCCTACCATATAACTCCAAATGGTCACGGAAGGAGTTGATGATCTCTTCCTTAGGGTCAGAACTGGGATGCCTTTCCTGAGTTACCATGGGACTAGTCTCTTGAGATGCCATATTACCTGAGTTATGCTTTTTGTGATTCTACTGACTTGGTTTCTTGCCCTGATCAGTTGTTGACTTCTTACCCAAATCCTGTGCCCATTTAGGTTTTCCATTGGAAATCCCAACATGTATCTTTGGTGTGTCTTGTCTTTTGGCAGTGAGTGCACCAAAGTTTACTCTTTATCATCTGTTCTCTTCTGAGAGTCACCATTCTTAAAACCACCTTCGACATTAGTATCTGAACTTCCCCGGACAGCTAGGGCAACTGGCTCCCCCTCTGTACAATTCATCACATTTCTTCTGCTCTCTTCTGACTGAACCAAGGCATAAACCTCCTGAACTGATGGCAAGTCTTTACTTCCCAAGATCTGCACCCTGATGGACTCATATGAAGGATTCGGCCCCAAGAGGAAGGCAAATACTCGTTGCTGAGATACAAGTGACTTATAGGCCTTTGCATCTTCATCACACTTCCAGATAACATTTTGATAGTGATCAAGTTCTTTCCATATCGATGTCAGATCTGAGTAGTACATCGAGAGACTCCTTTCCCCCTGCTTGCAAGTGGACGATTCAGCTTGCAGTTGGTATATGTTGGCATAGTGTCTCTGCTCTGAATAGGTGGACTTTGCTTGTTCCCATATTTCACAAGCAATTTCAGCCCACATAAAAGTTTTTCTCACCTGTGGCAGCATGGAAACCAAGAGCCATGACATCACCATACTATTTTCTTGGTTCCATCTATCATATTCAGCACTTCCGCTCTTCGGTTCCTTCACTTTCCCATTAATGTATCCTATTTTTCCCCTAGCAGTGATGTAGAGTTTTATTCCCCTAGACCATTCAAGGTAATTCAGACTATCAGAGAGAATAACAGCCATGGGGAAACTCATATCCATTCCCCCACTCACTCCATTTTGACTTCCAGAAATCCCTGAAGTAGCAGAATTCTCAGACGACATGGTCAACACAGATTTTTTTTCTTTTTAATCTAAAACCTCAACTTAGGATCCCTCCTTATATCAGACCAAAAAGCTTCACACACAACAAGTGATCAGTCCACACACTTCAGTTTTTTGGACTTAATCTATGCACAAGACCAGTACCAATTTCCAGAAAAAAACAATATGACAAATCTGATTTTCAGACCTGTACGGAATAACAGCCCCATCCTACTAGTTTTCCAGAAGGTCCACAAACATTAATCACAAGGGGAGATCCTTACACACAAGACATCAAGCCAACAAGTAGAGAAAAAAAGTCATACGTGACCTACAGCCACCTTTCACAAGTACAGGATCACACGATCCAAAACAAACAGAGGTAAAAACCTCACAAGGGTCTGCCGACATTCAGTGGTTCAGATCCATTCGTTTTCCTCTTGGTACACGACCAAGGGAAGAAAAAAACAGGAAAAAATAGGGCGATACCAGTTGCAGATCTGATTCGATCAATCCAGATTTACTCCTCCGTTCCGCCCAGATTCAGCAGTTTGGAGAAGACACTTGATCGCCCAGATTCAATGGCCACGCTCTGATACCATCTTGACAGTAAATCCGATTGAAGATTACAGCAGAAGAGAAGAGAAGAGAAGAGAAGAGAAGAGAAGAGAAGAAGAAAGGAGAAGGGTTAGAGGCAATGGAACAGTGCTGGCGGCACCAGCTCCATTATAATATATAGGGTGAAAAAAATAAGAAGGGAAATGACCCTTCTTGTGCCCCTACTAAGTAAAGTTACAATAACAGATTAAAATAAAAAAGCTTTAATAAGCCAAACAGACCCTAACAAAATAAAAAACAATTTTACTTCAACAATATCAAAGGGATTTAAGCAAGGTGGGTAGGGTAGTGTTAGAGAATAAAACCTATTCAAGGACTTCACTTAACAGCTTAAGCTTTTAGGTCGAATGGTTCTTTAAGATGGTATCAGAGCCACTTTGACCAAGTGGTCTAGTGTTCGATTCTCGTCACCCCATTATAATATAATTAATTAAGTTTCAGCACAAGGTATGGGCAAGCCTGTGCTGTCACGCTTCAAGCCTAATGGGCTTTCGTGTGAGGAGGCATGTTAGAGAATAAAACCTATTCAAGGACTTCATTTAACAGCTTAAGCTTTTAGGTCGAATGGTTCTTTAAGAGGTAGCATGGAACATCATCCCATTTGTTGTGTTCTGGGCAGTCTGGAGCAAAAGAAATGGCAGAACATTTCAGGAGAGGCAGAGTTCAAAAGAAGAGGTTTTCAAGAAAGTGATGGGCATGGTATTTTCTTGGTTGGCAAACCACTCTTTGTTCAAGAACAGACACAGAAATACTTTTTTTGATCGGGGATTTCTTTTTGTAAGGAAATAGTAGGATTTTTTGGTTGTATTTGGGCTTACCAAAAATGGTTAATATGGTTGTATCCTTGTACAGAATCTCATTGTACATGGTTTGTCTTTTGTGTTTTTTGGTTTTATGAATGAAATACTTTTGCCTTACAGTTTCAAAAAAAATGTTGATGATGGAAATTTAATTAAATTTGGCAAGATATAGGTATTGAGGATTTTTTCAGTTTCTAAATAGTTGGGTTAGTTGGTCAGATGTTAGTAGGGACTTGGGTGGGGACTGTGAAGGATTGCATGTGAGGTCCACTGGCCATACCCTGAGAGCCTGCAGTTCCATGGGGTTCATCCCGTGTGTTTTGGCAGTGATGCCAAGTGGCCATCTCAACTACTGGGTAATTGACAGTATTACTTTTTGTTAATTTCATTGCTCAAGAGGAAATTACAAAAAGATGTAATTTCAACCCCCACCAGCTGCGAAGGACTGTACATTGTGTAAGTTACTACATCTGTTCACGCATATACACTATCTTCAAAAACAATTTCCTCCCAATGATTTGTAAAACATGTCATTCTCAAATCAGCAAAATCCTTCTCTATGCTTGCCCATCTTACCATGCACCTTTCAACCTTCCCAGTCATCCTTTCTTCCACCCACCAAACTGATCAAAGATTCTCTTATTCCTTTCTAACAACACTGACCAGCACAAGGCACCTAGAACCATCCCTCAGAACAAGTTAAAGTAGACTATATATGGAAGCATGATATCAGAAAATTAAAGTAGACGCCTGCATCCATGTCCTGGTTCTAAAGAAATTAAGTCATATCTCTGTTTCTCACACCTATATATGGGCATTTAGTTCTGTATGTGTGATTTGTATATCTAAAATTATATATGAGCTTTCTCTCTAACACAATATACCAGGCATAACCTAACCAGCCAGGCTAGGTTGACTGGCTAAGGATCTATCTGAAACATCTTCTAGCCCTTTAATTAGAAAAGTATATGTAGACATTCTAGAATTTCCATAGTTTTGAGTAAGCCTTTATGAGGAATATCCAATGATATTGATTTTGCACAATTTTGAGACACATTTCTTCTTTGAAAGTAATGTAGAAGTTTCTTTAAATACAGTGGTTGTTGTAGGACTTTTCATCCTTGATTAGATGGAATTGAAAGTCACACAAACTGTTTCACAATCCTGATTACTACAAACTGGAATATCTGTTTAAAACTCTTGGTTGCTGAATGGAAGTCTATATCACACTCAAACAAGGTGCTGCTAAACCTAGTCCACAGTAATGACAATCAGTTGGGCTCTGTGCTTTTATGCAAAAGAACCAAGCATTGCACTAGTAAAAGCTTTTACTTTTAGGGCTTGAACTATCAAGTGGGACATTTTAGTACCCTGAACTTTTAGAAATATAAAGTCCAATTCTGTTAAAACTGCATTACAATGAGGAAAAATTACAAAAATGATCATGTTTAGATTCTCTTTTGCTGACTGAACTTTTATTTTACTCTTTTTTCATATGAAACCATCTCTATACTTCTTTTAAACAAAGAATAAAGGCACTTGAATGGAACAATGAAGAATAGTGAAAAAAATAAATAAATCTGAAGATGGGCATTTTTGTGAGCTGGACTCAAGTGTATATTTCTAAAAGTTCATGGTACTAAAATGTCATAATTGAAAGTTCAGGCTCTTTAGTGTCAGTACCCCCAAAGTACAGGGTACCTATCTGTAATTTATCTTACTTTTATTTTCTTTAAATATTTATTATTCTAAATGGCCCAATATTTGACAGATTGTTGGAGCTCAACTCTGCATGTCAAGGAATGGTATGCCTCTCCTCTGCTTAATTAATCTTCCATTATTTTGTGAAGCCGACATGCAACTCTTTAGCATTTTGGGTATAAGATTTACCAGAAAATGCTATAATGCATTTGTCAAACTTATGCATCTTGATGAGTTATGAAAATGGCAGGAAAAGAGTTGAAGGTTGACTTTTATCATTGTTATCTTATCTGTAATTTATATCACTTTTTGCCCCTTCTGGTCAAAGACAATGCAACTTCTCTTGCTCATATTGGATGGATTAGTTCTCTGAAGAGGTCTGTCTGAATTCAGGCTTCAAGAGCATAACATGACTGGGAAAGATGCTTACCAATATTTTGTATTGAAAGCTCAAGAGATGGCCATTGTAAGAAATTGGATCCCAGTGAACTGGTATGTTTTAAATTGTCAATAAATAGCTATCTGTATATTTCATTTTTCATCCTTAGATAATGTGATCTTATGTTGTATCTTATTTACCTTTATGCATACCCTTGTCACAAACTTTACTGGATGTTTTCTGCAAGAAAATTCTTTGGAGTTTTGAACATTCTTTTCATATTTGGGTTTTATCAGGAACAAACCAAGTCAGTTGGTAGATATGGAGGATGGGATTTTATATTTGAAACCATTGACATTTAAAATTTTACTCGTGCTTATAGGAACTGGATCATACAGCATCTTCCTAGGGTATTGTGATTAAATTAAATTTGAAGGATCAAATCTTTCAAAATAATCTAATTTCTCAACTCTTGAGAGATTTAAGTCCTTATAAGCTTTTGAAAATATTGAAATTCTGTAATGATATTTCAACAATATAAGGATATACTTAAGGCAGTTATCTGGAAATCTCATTTCAGGGAAGAAACCTTCAACACATTCAAGGATAGACTTAATCCACAGACAGTGGTGCATAACTGGTAAGTTAAGTACACATACTTTGTACTTGGTTTATTTCCAGTAGAAATTTCTTATTGTCTTTTGCATGTAAACAATTATACTTATCCTCTTCTGGAAGGTTGGGTCCGGGAGTCTGTCCAAAAGTTGTTGCAAACGGTCTCAGATGCATTTACAGCAATCAAGGTGTATGGTATCTTGATCATCTGGATATTACTTGGGAGAGTTTCTACAATAGTGAGCCACTGGAAGGAATAAATGATACTTTGGAGCAGGATCTTGTTCTTGGAGGTGAAGTTTGCATGTGGGGTGAGACTGCTGATACCTCGGATGTCCAACAGACAATATGGCCCCGTGCTGCAGCGGCTGCAGGTATACATGTGATGGAAATAAATCATTGATACTGAAGATGTTCTTATAATAATTATTGGGTTCTCTCTACCTCATGAATTAATAACTGATATCTAAAAGAAAATTTGATTTTATCAGTACTTCTTAGGGTTAGTTATCCTTCTCCTGGATTCATTACTTCCTGGGACCTGGGATATTTTAGGCCTCAAATAATTCTTGAGGGTTGGAGTAATAATGTTGATATGAGTGAAAACCTCTTATTTTCAGTAGAGATGCATAGGAGAAAAGGCTGAGAAAGCCTACCATCCTTTTAAGGGTTCTACTACAGTGTGAAAATTTAATGGTAAGGGAAAACCTCAGCCACTCAATACATTACACACTACCGTTTGCATCTTTTTAATATTGCTTTGGTGAGTGAAAACTTAACTTGGGTTCTAATAGGAACTTGTATGTTATTTTCTCAATTTCATTTTCTTTGGGCCTTTGAATGGGTTTTGTAGAGAACACTGATGTGGACCCCACTGCTGTGGTCCCCACTGTGTTCGTATGGCAGCATAGCATATGTTTTTTTGTTAGTTGTGTTAGTGTTAGTTGGTAGTTATTTCAGTTTGTTGTTACAGCTTGTTATTTCAGCTTT